AAAAAAAAAAAAAAAAAAAAAAAAGAGTTTAGAATTCCTACCTTGTCAGTTTCCAGGTATACTGATGCTTTCACAGAGTTTTTAAATGAATGAACATTTATGAAGAAAGACTGTACCTGTATTAGCCAATTTTAGCCTGGGATAGAGAAATCGAAGAGGGTTTATTACCTATATTACCTATCTCTTTATATAAGAGCCATAGGTTCAGATTTTCTAGTTAAATATAAATATTTTGATATATGTTGTGCCATATCTGGATTATCAATTGAACATAGATTCAAAGAGCATCTGCTTTAGATGCCAATGCAGTAGGCATCAGTGCTGTTTACAAATAACTCTGTTATTCTCAACTCACTGTCCAGAAATAGGCACGTGGGAGCTAAGACTGAAACACTTCATTGTCAAATTCATTCCCCTTTCCTCCGCATAGCTATTGTCAACAACCTTTACTCCAGGAGTCTGATCCCTCAGTGACCATTCTGAGCAGAGCCCCCTGCTGACCTACAGTGGCTATCTTAAACAGCTTGGGCTGCCATAACAAAATACCACAGACTGAGTGGCTTAAACAACAGAAATTTTTCTTTTCACAGTTTTGGAGACTGGAAGGTCAAGATCAGGGCACCAGCATAGTTGGGTTCTGGTGCAGCCTCTTCCTGGCTTGACGAAAGCCACCTTCTCTCTGTGCTCACATGGTCTCTCCTTGGTGCATGTGTGGAGCCAGGGAAGCCAGGAAACAGCTCTCTGGGTCTTTTCTCACAAGTGTGCTAATTCCATCAGGAGGGCCCCAGCCTTATGACCTTTACAAAACCCAATTATCTCCCAGAGGCTCTATCTCCAAATACCGTAAGACTAGAAGTAAGGCCTTTAAAGCATGAATTTGGTGGGGACTCAATTTAGTCCACAGCAGTGAGCATGGAACATCAGAGAGAAATAACTGATGCTGAGATATGGAGACTATTTGTTATCACAGGACAACTTAGACTATCAAGACAGATACATTCTGATAGTGAATATTTTTATACCTCTATGCTTTTGTGAGGAAATAATATGTTTTTAACTAAAAATAATAGCAGGAGAAGCACTTGGCTTACTATTATCCTAAACGTTGGGGGCAGGGTTGGAATTGAAATTTTAAGCCTCCTCTCCCTGGAAAATTGAAATTGCTAAAACGTCATGGTTTCCTTGTGCAGACCTTCAAAGTCAGTTATTAAACTTGTGACAATAACGTCACATTATCAAAGTGAATTTTTGTTGTTGTTGCTGTTTTTAGCCTGAGGGTTAGACATCACAACCACCTGCTTAACCAGTTTCCAAAAACACGAAGGATTCACATGTCTGCTGCAACATGAAACTTGTCTTTGCTTATCTTGAGTTTTTTTTTCGGTACAGCACAGAATGCTAATTTTAAGAAATTCCGCCTGCAGATGTTTAGAATCATTTGGAAATTGATCATAAGAATAAGTACATGCATTCCAAATATGTGTACATTTATTATCACAAATCTTCCCTAGGAAAAGAGACTACAAGATTTCCATTAAACCTAAAAGTCCTTTAGGGAACTGCAGAATGCAAAGAATGTTTTTAACAGTGTGTCAATGAAATGATTCATAATCAACCATGAAAACACCCCTTATCAGAAGCTCAGACGGGAGCAAGGGCAGAAGTTCATTGGCACAGGTAGCAGTGAAGCCACCTGCTTGTCATGATCCATGACATGGAATTCTCACAGAAGAAACACAACCTCTCTGCGTATGCAAACAGTGCTTTAGTGAAACATTGATGCTGGGGGATTATTTACAGCCGATGATCCCAAGTACAATCTATCAAGTACCTCCATTTAAATACTAAACAATTCATGACCAGCCTGGACAACATGACAAAACCTCATCTCTACTAAAAAATACAAAAATTAGCCTGGTGTTGTGGTGCGCACCTGTAGTCCCAGCTACATGGGAGACTGAGGCACGAGAACTGCTTAAACCTGGGAGATGGAGGTTGCAGTGAGCCAAGATCACACCATTGCACTCCAGCCTGGGCAACAGAGTGAGATCTTGTCTCATAAATAAACACCAAGCAAGGTAATAACTCTAAAGAGGTCAAAAACAAAGCCACTCTTAGACGGCAGTGCAAAAGGAGAGTGGCTTTGGACTTCCATGGGCCCTGGACCCACCTCCAGTTGTGTCCCTCCAGCTGTGTGACCATGAGCAAGCACTCCTCTCTGCGAAAGAGACAACCACACCCACCTCATTATGCTGTCCTGAGAAGGAAAACAAGTTACCTGCATGTGGTGGAGGCTCCCTGCATTGCAGTTGTTAAGGTTCAACGGGAATTTAATGAATAGAACAAAAGCTTAGCAAATACTCTGTAACTAAGCAGCTAATAACATAGATAATACATAATAATACATAACAGTACAGAATCTCTTTGCTCACTTACTATGTGACAGGCATGTTAAAAGTACTTTATTTCACTAACCCTATTCCACACACATTATTATTACCTTCAGTCTACAGGTGAAGAAACAGAGGCTTGGTGAAGTTGAGAAATTTTCCCAGGATCACATGGGGTGGAGCTATATCTTAGACATGAAGTTCACACTTTTAACTCATTGTGTAATTCTGCAGAGAATGTCAGGCTGCACCTTTGCCCCAGAGGGTGGCTCCCATGCCATTGTTGCCTTCCACAAAGGAGGGTGTTTCCTTAGACTTCCCTGTTGAATTCATACCTCTATGAAGTTAAGATAACATCTGTCCCCTAGCCACATCTAAGACTCCACAAGACTCACAGGATTGGGTTGACAGACACCGTATAAATCCAGTGGTTAGAGAAAATCCACTTACTAAGTGAAGGTGAAATTCCCCTTCTCTTGAGTTTCCAGCGTCATAGTAAAGGAAAACTTCAATAAGTAAACCTTTCAGCTCTTCATCCTTCAGTGAATTCTATTTATAACCAATCATTTCAACAACTGGAAGACACACACAAGCAGACCTATGTCGTGTGAACCCCACGTACGCCCCCTTGCCCATTAGTGCCGTGAGGTGGTGGTTCAGGCAGAACTTGGCTGTGGAGGTGTGCATGCCTGGTAGGTTCATGAGGTGTGATCCTGCCTGCAGCTTTACTTCATCATGAAATATGCTAGACTGGCAGCTGGTTTGCTGGCTGCTGGCTCCTCTGGGGCGTCTGCCCTCACAGAAACCGCAGCCTCAGAATCTGAGGCCCTCAGCATCTCTCATCATTCCAGGGGATAAGAGTCCAAGTGCCTCAGGCTGGAGGAGCCTGCCCTGGAGAAGGCCCTGGCTGGCAAGAACTGGAGGTGTGGGACAGCTTTCCTCTTTATGCACAGTGTGGAGTTCTGACCCACTTCAGGGTTGTACACAGGGGGTTCCACAGTTGTGTAATTCACTAGGACTACTTGAGTATTGCAGAAGCCAGGTTCCAACTGCTAAGGCCCTGGCTACATCAGGAACTTACTCAAGCTGTCATTCAATCCAGAGTTCCACGGTTACTGTGAATGCTCTTGGCAGTGCTGCCCGAGGTGAGGGATGGCAAAAGAGTAAGACATAGTTCCTGTCCATAATGGGCTGGCTACTTCTTTTGAAAGCAAAATGTACACAAGGAAGCATCTAAGTACAAAGCAGCATATGACTCGTTCCCAGTGAATTCCTGTGGGGATCCAGGGAAGTGGCCAATGGGCCTGATGGAGCACTCCAAGCACCCTCTAAGACCAGATGGCTACTGATGGCTAATCCCTCTGCAAAGTCTCCTTTCAGGCAGGAAGTTCAGTTCTGCAAGATGTACCTTTCATCCATAAGAATTACAGCAATGAGAAGATAAAACAGAACAGATCAAGCTCACAAAATAAAGAAGTCTGAAAACCAAAGTGTTTTACTAAGGAGTGCCTTGCAGTGAGAAGCTTTGCAGAGTACCCTTGAGAGCATCCTTTACTACAGCTTAGACATACCTTTCTCTGTCACAACGTACATACTCTAAGGCGTCTGGTAGCTGTATACCTCCACTAACACAGTCAAGAATTGGCAACATGCTTCATGCTGCAAGCCGTATTTCCGACTCTCCTCAGAAACGGGCTTTACAGTTTGGATTTCCCAGAGAAGCCCAGAAGTGTTTTCATAGAGAAGAAGTGTTTTCCTAGTGGTGTAGAACACACACTTGTCCCCAAGAAGCTACACTCAGCCAGAAAATCACAACAACAGGCAAGGATGCTGATTTTCATCAACACACATACACACACACACACACACACGATGTAGGATGCTTGGTACTTCACCATTGTTGTTACAGCTCTGGGCCCATGATGAGTTATTATGCTTGTGCATTCACAGATATGCCTTTGTGGCTGAACAAGTTAAAAGCAGGTGGCTCATGCCTGTAATCCCGGTACTCTGGGAGGCCAAGGCAGGTGGATCACTTGAGGTCAGGGTTCAAGACCAGCCTGGGTAATATGGTGAAACCCCATCTCCACTAAAAGTACAAAATATTAGCCAGGAGTGGTGGCTGGTGCCTGTAATCCCAGCTACTCAGGAGGCTGAGGCAGGAGAACTGACTGAACTTGGGAGGTGGAGGTTGCAGTAAGCCAAGATTCTGCCACTTGCACTCCAGCCTGGGTGACAGAGAGAGACTCCGTCTCAAAAAAAAAAAGAAAAAGAAAAGAATTAAAGAAAGGACGTTTGCCCATCTGAAGCAAAGTATTGACTGGACTTATGTAAATACCAGATTAAAAGAAAAAGGAAGAGGAACTGGGCATGTCAGAGTGAGAGAAAGTGGGAGAGGTTGAGGAAGCATATGAGATTCTTAAAAAAAAAGGACAATAAGTACCAACATAGCTTTGCTAATGTTGGAAATGGTGGCCAGAATTGTCTGCAGTTTAGCAAATGATGATAGCCAGCTAATCCTAATTACCCTAGAAGCTTCCTTTAGAAGTGCCACAAAGCTGTAGGAGGTATGCTTATCTGCCTTGCTGTGACACAAAAATGGAAGCATAGTTAATATAATAGATGAGAAACGCATGACTCAGAATGATTTTCAATATTGGAATGTTAGGAATCTATGGGAGGTATTTTCGTGTAAGAATAATAGGACCTGGCTGGGCGTGGTGGCTCCCGCCTGTAATCCAAGCACTTTGGAGGCCAAGGCAGGCGATCACCTGAGATTGGGAGTTCAAGCATAATAGGACTTGTTTAAAAGGACTGGCGAGTTGGGGGCATCCCAGATGCGTGAGAAGCACTACAGCTAGTGGTTAGAAGCAGGTTTGCTGGAGCCAGGCTGCCTGGGTTCAAAGTTCACCTCTGCTGCCTGTTAGCTGCACAACCATGGGCTGCTTTTGAGCCTTGCTGTGCCTTGGTTTCCCCATGCACTTCATGAGGCTCTTGCAGGAATTAAATGAGTTAACAGGTAGTCAACAGCTCTGAATAGTGCTTGACTGAGTCAGCTCTGCCTTAGGTTCGACTTATGGGATGCGGCCCTGGGTTCCCTAAGGGAGTGGCCACACTATTCACAAACAAGAACGCAGTAAGCGCCCAAAGGCTCTATCCTCACCAACCTTTCCCCCTTTTATGGTGATCTAATTGCATTGGTTAAAAGCAGCTAACCAGTTATTTAGAATATGCTCTCTAGCCAAGTCTAACTTTTTTTAGACGCTGCAGATGGACAAGCTTGATTGACTGAACCAAAATGGGAACATTAAACAAACATCACAGACCCCACTAATAACATTGTGACTTTGCTGTCAAATGTAGATTCCCCCCTTCAAAAAAAGCTTGTGACCGTTTTGTATGGCTTGTCTGGAAACTTCTGCAAATCTTATGTTTTAGTAAAATATTTTTTATTCTAAAAAAAAAAAAAAGTCCTCAGCGGGACCCCACAGAACAGTCTCCCCGCTGCTCCCTGGCTCTCCTGGGGAGCTGCGCGGCACCAGCTGCACCTCCTCTGCCTCAGGTCAGGCTTTACCTTCTGCGCCCGTTTCCGAATTTAACAAGCACGAGAACGGGCCGCAGGGGAGCCGCGAGGACGGGTGGGGGGCGCGCGAGGACGGGTGGGGGGCGCGCGAGGACGGGTGGGGGGCGCGCGAGGACGGGTGGGGGGCGCGTCACCTGCTCCGCACAGAGCCGCGGCTCGCCCGCACGCGCGCTTCCCCTCCGCTGCGCGTCTCGCCGCGACCCGGGACCCCGAGACTCCTGGTCCCTCTAGAGCCTCTGAGCCCCTAAACCCCCACGCACCTCCCAAATCCCAAGACCCCGGACTGCCCAACCCTGGCCCGGGGCGGTGGCTGGGGGCCTCAACCCGCGTCCAAAAGCCCGCAGGGCCGTCTGTCGGGAGTCTCCGCCTTACACAGCAGGAATTTATTATCCGCGCGCCCCCCGAAATCCGGGCGTCCCCTCCCCGGCGCCCTCCCTCACGGGCCCCCCAAAAGCCCTCCGTGGCTGACCTCCAGGCCGGGTGGGTGCGCTGTGGGACGCGGAAAGCGCCATAGGGGACGCAGGACACGTTTGGCTGAGCTCCCGGAAGTGACGCACCGCCAGCGCCCGACGGCGGAAGTCCCACCTGCGCCCGACGGCGGAAGTTCCGGGAGTGCCCAGTCCCCGCGTGCTTTCGGCAGCCGGCATGGCGCACTACAACTTCAAGAAAATTACGGTGGTGCCGTCCGCCAAGGTAGGCGGCTGCGGGAGGGCCGCTCCGACTTTCGCCTGCTCCTTAGCGGGGTCGCCGGCGAGTGTCCGGGCCTGCAGCCGGGGGAGAGCGCACCCGGGCCGACCTGCTGGCCGCGTACTCGTGATCATTTCCCCTCCCCCACAGAACCCGGGGTCCGCCAGAGATGGAGGTCCGCCCAAAGACTGAGGGCCCCCGGAGAGGGAGGTCCGCCCAAAGACTGAGGGTCCCCGGAGATCGAGGTCCGCCCAAAGACTGAGGGCCCCCGGAGATGGAGGTCCGCCGACGGAAGGGGTCTCTGGAGGGGACGAGGTGGGCGAGGGGAGGGGACCCCGGCACGTGAGGGAGGAGCACTAGGTGGTTGGCGATGAGCCTTCGGGTCTGGGCTTGGCGTAGCCCCCTCCCCTCTCTGGAAGCCTCGGTTCGTCGCTCTCGTGATTTAACGTTTCTTAGTTTTTAAGTCGTTCTCCTTCGCTGTTGGATTTGGGAATCCCTGTTCTTTTTCGGACTGTAGCAGGCCCAGACTAAATTTGTACAGCGTTGGTTGGTGTGGCAAGAATGAGTCAACTGCCGGGCGCGGTGGCTCAGCCTGTAATCCCAGCACTTTGGGAGGCCGAGGCGGGTGGATCACGAGGTCAAGAGATCGAGACCATCCTGGTCAACATGGTGAAACCCCGTCTCTACCAAAAATACAAAACGTTAGCTGGGCATGGTGGTGCGTGCCTGTAATCCCAGCTACTCGGGATGCTGAGGCAGGAGACTTGCTTGAACCCGGGAGGTGGAGGTTGCGGTGAGCCGAGGTCGCGCCACTGCACTCGGGCCTGGCGCCTGGTGACAGAGTGGGACTCTGTCTCAAAAAAAAAAAGAATGAGTCAAAAAGTGTTGAGCATTAGGACTTTCTATTTTATTTTTTATTTTTTTAAAGACGGGTTTCACCATATTGGTCAGGCTGGTCTTGAACTCCCGACCTCAGGTGATCCGCCCCCGCTTGGCCTCCAAAGTGCTTGGATTACAGGTGTCAGCCACCACGCCCAGCCAGGACTTTTTTTTTGAGACTGAGTTTTCGCTCTTGTTGCCCAGGGTGGAGTTGCCCGGGGTGGAGTGCAGTGGCCAGATCTCGGCTCACTGCAGCCTCTACCTCTGAGGTTAAAGTGACTCTCCTGCCTCAGCCTCCCAAGTAGCTGGGATTACAGGCGCATGCCACCAGGTCTGGCTAATTTTTGTGTTTTCAGTAGAGATGGAGTTTCACCATGTTGGCCAGGCTGGTCTTGAACTCCTGATCTCAAGTGATCCACTTGCCTCAGCCTCCCAAAGTGCTGGGATTACAGACGTGAGCCACCACTCCCAGCCAGATTGTAGTGTTTTCGAGTGCAGGAATCATATCTTATTTGTATATTTGATCAACCATCTCTCAAGTTTGTTGAAGGAATTTGCTCTTTGGATTATATGAACTTTGGTAATGTAATCGACTTATGTGGAGGACTTTGGAATATATTAATACACCATCCGTTTTCTGTTTTGTGGAGAGATTTGTGCTTTTAGAGAACAGATGACTTTACCTATCTGAAAAGGGTGATGGTAAGTGTTTGGTAATTGGAAGTTAAAAAAAATAATCACATCAGGAAAGTGTGGGATTCAGTTCGTTCTAGAAGCCTAAGTGAACGCCTGTCCTGTGCATTCAGGTACTGTATTACAAAAATGCATAGAATACCTGCCTCTTTGGAAGTCCTTTTCAAGAGGGGTAAGCAGAATCACTTTTGACCATAGTAGAAATAAAACATGGTTATCGTGGAGGACACACATGGGTTGGGAGAGGATAAGAGTGTAGGTAGCTGTGGTTAGTAGGAGAGTCAGGGGCAACCTCATGAAGTAGGTAACATTTGAACTGGGCCTCCTTCAGGATGTGTGAACACCATTAGGTGAAGAATGTAGGGGAGACCTTGTGTAGGCCCAGAGGGGAGAATGTGCGTGCCCCTCATAGTACTTGGCAGACTGCTGTGACCACCAGCTTATTTGTCTCACTTGTAGGCCCAGAGGG